ATTGTATGGATCACTCTACAACAATTAAAATACTTTACACCTCCCATGGTACATCAAAAATTCGGTGATCGAAAATGACAAGAAACTCACCAAGATAGGTGATGAAATCAACCACCACTCTAGTAGATACACTACAGTAGATACAGCTGCAAGACAACTGCTACAAGCACCATCCACAAGTAGATTGAAAAGATTCAGAACGGCCGACATACCAAGTAGTAGGAAAATTAAAAATAACTTAATAAATTAACTCAAACACAATCTCACACCTGGCGAACATTAACACGCATATTTTATAAGATCTCATTACGCTGATCAAAATAATAAAAAACAAAATAAAAATATATATACTGTTAAAAAATAAAAAAAACATGCGCAAAAAATGGTTGGATGATTTTCTTAATTTAAGAAATAAAATTATTCATTCGGGGTCTAATGTTGAGCTACCTTGCATTTACGGCCATTATGCCAGAAAAAATGCATTCAAGACCATTATGACTGAAATCAGATGTATGGGGTTAATAGCAAGGTTAATTTTTAACATAAATTTCTATGTGGTTTTATCGGGGCTGCTGCACAATGTTTCAAATATATTCAAAACGTTTCGGACGATGAATTGAGAAATTTAAAGAAAGATGAAAAGCTAAGTTTTAATCCCTTGCGTTATCCACATTGAAAGTCTAAATAAAATAAAAAACAAATAAATAACGAAGGAAAAAAATTTAATTTATATTCTGTATTAAAATTTGTTACTTGTCCTTTTGTCTTTCGAGCTGCAGCGTCGGCCAGCCAGTACTCACCTTATGGGAGAGTATACCCGTAACCGCCGTCCGGAACACTCGCAGAATTCAGCGACCAACCAAAACGTAAACAAAGGTCTTTCTTTTTTTTTTTTTTTGTACAAATATTGAAATATTTTATTATTAACAAGAATATTACTACTAAACATTGGCAGCTTAAGCTAGTTATATGTGAGGTAAAAACATTTAGCTAGACTTACTGCTATTTAGGCAAAGGTGAACAAAGATAAGCCTAAAATGGGAAAAGTTTTTAATTTTTTTGATTATATCAATGAGTTTTGGTTTAGAGAATCCTGTCAGGTAGATCCTGTAGGTGGCAAAACAAGGGTAACAAAATTGATTACCCTAAATCGTTGGCTTCGTTGTTGTTGTGCTCCCGCCCATTTTATGGTGCTAACAAATTATTTACCTATTTCCACCCTGTAATTCCAGATTTTGGATGGCCTCTACCCAATCAACATAATTTTGGCAGGACATTATTCTTTTCATTACGTGTGTATAATTGTCGCTTTCTTATAATTATGACAAATGAATATTTTTTATTATTAAGTTTTTATTACATAACAAACATCTTTAACAAATTTATACAAAACTACAACAAACATTGCCAAAGGTATTGCCTGTTGCCGCTAGAAACAACACGAATATATGTCGAAAGTTTTCTGCACTGATGTGAAATAAAATACCCACATAAATATATATATATATATATACATATATATATAGGTCTATATGCCTATAGTTGTTAATGTAGCATGTAGTTATTTTTAATCGCTTAATCTACCTTACACTGTCTAAAGAGCTCTCTGGGTAGGTAAGGGGCGATAGGAAAGGGTATTTTAATGCATACTTAATTCTCTTTTTAATCGAATTATTTTTACACAAATTTCATTAAACAATAGTTAGAAAGTTAATATTTTCTCTTCTTACACGAATTTTTACATTTACACGAAGTTTAACATTCTGCCGCTTAAAACATCCTTAATACAACACTTCGCCCAAGAAATAATTGCTACATTTAAAACTTACTACAAAAAACTCTCTAAACAAGCTGGATAATAATGAGGAGGCCACTAAGGTAGCCACCCCACAATTCATAATCCTAGTTATAGGATATAACATTATTTTGTGTTATATAAGCATTGTATAGTATGTAAGCGTTGTTAAGGGCAAGGTGCCGAATCGTTGAAGTCAGATAAGGGCAAGGAGCCCCTCGTAATTTAAGTTTGAATCTAGCTGCTGATCGGTTGCACAACACCGTTTCTTTCTTAGAAACAATACAAAGTTAATCCTTAGAATTGAAACAAACAGAGTTTCAGACTTACAAGTGGGGATGTTCGGTTTAATCCGCAGAAAATAGAAGCGATTAAAAAAATACCCGATTCCCAAAAGCAGAAAAAAAATAAAAGTATTTTTAGGAATATTAGGGTTCCAATAATGGAAAACGTTTTAGAGATGCACACCTCGTATAAAGTTAACTTTGAACTTTTTGGCGAATATTTGAAGATAAACAATAACGCTGATGGTGAAGATTTTGAAATTATGATCAAATCCCATCAAACGGAAATATGTGTGGTTACGAAGTCTTCTTCTTCTGACTTAGAAGAAATATTCGTAAGCCACTCAGCCATTATAAGTTCAAAGATGGATGAATTCCAAGAGCGAGATAGGGGTTGGACTCTAATAAAAATTCTACATGTTGAAATGAATATCAACAAATACAAACCACTGAGAGGCTCTAGCTTTATTCCGTTACCACGGAAATTAAGTTAGAAAAAAGCCATAATAAACGTAAAAAACGAAGATGAGTTTTGCTTTAATAACAGCCCTAAAGAACTGTATGCGCACTTATAGGTGTGCATCGTATAAAATCACTGACATAAGGAGTTCAATTATCGAAATTGATGAGATATTCTCACTTCAATTTCATAATATGGAATTTCCACTTAAGCTCAAAGACATTAAATTGTTTGAAGAACAAAATACTAATATAAGTATAAATGTCGTTGGGTATGATGAAGATATCAATGAGATAATTGGGCCACTCTACCTAACCAAGGAACACCGCGGAAAGCATATTGACCTGTTGCTTTTGGAAAAGCCAAATATTTCACATTATGCCTGGATTAAGAATCTTTGAAGGTAAGTAAACAAAACAAAAACAAAAATATTTATAAATTTCTTTGTTAATATCATACATATTTTCTCCTCCAGACTTACACATAATCAGCTAACTTCGCACACAAGGAAATTGCATTTCTGCAATATATGTTTGAACTACTCACACAACGAGAGATCCCATAGCGAGCAGTGTGGAAAACTGGTGGCGAAGCTTCCAACGGCGGATAAGGCGAGTCTTAAATTTTAAGAATTATGCTAATACTTCAGAAGTACCTTTTGTAATATATGCAGATTTCGAATGCATTTTAAGACCGATCAACAGAAATGTTAGCGAGAATGTAATAAGCATTCAAGAACACATTCCTGTTGCATACGCATATTTCATAAAATCTGCATATGATTCTAGTCTAGATAAGTTCGTAATATGTTTATAGTGGGGAAAATGTAAGATTACATTTTGTAACATCGCTCATTGCTGATGCAAGAGAGATTTATACCAAGTTTAGAAGATGAGCATAAATTTACAAATGCTATAAATTGTCACATTTGCACAAAGTTTTTAAACTTAGATAGAGTACGGGATCATTGTCACTTAACTGGTAAATTTAGAAGGGCAGCTTATAATGCTTGTAATATAAATTACAAAATTGCCTCATTTATCCCAGTGTTTTTTCATAATTTTTCACGCTATGATGCGCATTTGTTTGTAAGAGAGTTGTCAAAAGTTGAAGGTGAAATTAAGGTTCTAGCTCTTAATAAAGAGGTTTACATTTCCCTTTCAAAGTACACTTATATTACAGAGCACAATACAAATTTGGAAATACGTTTTCTAGACTCATTTCGATTTATGGCTGCTAGTTTAGATAGTCTTAGCTCTAATTTAGAACATAAGCATTTCACAAGTGTTAAACGTTTTTTCCCTGATCTAACACACTTTGCTCTAGTACATAGGAAGGGAGTATTTCCTTATGAATATTTAACCAAATTTGAATATTTGCAAGAAACTGCCCTACCACCAAGGGAACAATTTTTCAACAGTCTTGCGAATAGAGAATGTTCACATGAAGACTATTTGCATGCCCAGAACGTTTGGAGAGTTTTTGATTGTAAAACTCTCCAAGATTATATGGAGCTGTATTTAAAGACAGATGTACTTTTGCTTACAGATGTTTTCGAAAATTTTCGTTTAATTTGTAAGAATATCTATTCATTGGACCCAGCACAATATTAAATAAAAGAGAGTTAATAAAAAAGTTTTGGGCATGATGAAAGATGAGAATAATGGTAGAATAATGAAAGAGTTCATAGCACTTCGACCCAAAATTTACACTTTAAAACTTGAGGACGGAGGTTGTGTTAAAAAGGCAAAGGGTGTTAAAAAATCAATTTTGGAAAACATCAGTGTGAAATGCTTATAAAGATTGTCTTTTTAATAATAAGATCATATACAACGAATAATATGTTAATTTTTAGATCTAATTTACATAAATTGTATACCAACAAAATTACTAAAGTAGCTTTAAGTTCTCAAGATGATAAGAGAAAAATTAGAGATGATTGCATACATACTTATGCATGGGGTCACTATAAGATTGTAAATTAATTGAATAAATAAAGAAAAAAAACAAGAAAAAACTGATTCGACTTTTTTAATTTTATTCGGAAATTGTTGTATATACAAAGTTTAATGATTACAGCAAACGCAGACGAAGATTATTAAATCAATAAAAAAAACTGAGCCGAGTTTTTAATTTGATTCTGGAATTGTTTACACAAAGTTTATGATTGCAGCAAAATGCAGACGGAGAATAATTAAACCAAAAAAGAAAAAAAGTTGCAGTCACTGCTTATTAAAACAAAACAATGTTGATTTTTGTTTTTATTTTTGGTGATGGAATGTTGGGTATTCAGAGAGGAGGGAGACAGAGAAAAAGCTGGAGTTGAATATTGAGCAGAGTCATTCTCTCAAGATTAAACAAGAGAACAATTATTCTCCAATTTAGCTCTTAAAATGAGAGAGAGAGAGAGTTAAGTAGTAGATCCACATTTCAAATTCTGCTGTATTCAAAAAATATAAGAATGAGTGATTCCCAGCGCTTAACCGGCCGTGAGAGTGGCCGTGACGATAAGGTGAAAGAAGCAAGATATAAAATATATCAATATCAAACTAAAACAAAAAACGAGAAAAAAAACACAAATGATAAGAGCTATTCAAAGAGCTCTATAAAGTACCAGAGATTTAAACAGCTCTGGCTATACTCAACGACAACGACATCGATATCGCCACCATTCACCAGAAAACATTTGGATACGAAAGTCATAACATGGACACTCCTCCAATTCAATCCAACGAAATATCATCTTCAACAGATACTAATGAAAATGATCTATGGAGTTTAAGTTATTCCAATTCGGATTTACTTATACGTCGTGTAATTCAAGAAAACATAATATCATCTTCAACAAATCCTTCCCCTTTATATGATGGTGATGTCGTTGAAGTTTCTGATACAGAAACAGTCTTTGAAGATGATGATGATGATGATGATGATGACGAAGATGAAGTTCCTGAAACAGACATCGAAGATGAAGTTCCTGAAACAGACATTGAAGATGAGGAGGAGGAGGAGGAGGACGACATTTTTAACATTAGACATAATTATTTGAATCAAGAAGCTCAACCAATAATATTAACAGCCAGTGAGGAACAACTATTCGTATTCGAAAATGTATTTGGTTAATAAAATTGTATACATATCTATATATATAAACTACATTTTTCTTGCTTATTCTATTTTCATTGAATACGTTTGCGAATAATTTTTTACATTAATCAATCGAATTTCAGATCTATAGGCTTCTTCAAACATTTTATCTGTTTCAACCTTCCCATTTGCCATTATCCTTTGAGCTTCGTATTCATGATATTCCAAACAAATAGTTTTTAGATGACGTAGTTCATAATAACTGTTATAAGTACATCTTATTGTTAAGACATAGTCTTCATATTGAAGCTAATAATAAAACACTTAAAGTGGAAGTGATAACCAAAAGTGTGCCAATATATTTGAATACCTCAGACTTAGGTGTGAATATTTTTAAAGTGAATACAATTCCATTAGAGTGTAATATTATTAACGGTTCATATGTAAACAATGTCTTATCTCATACGCTTCATGAATTTTAATGTTAGTGACGAAATACAATTCAAAACCAAGATTTATATGAAAGTTACATCAACATAGAAGGTTCGATTACTAAGGGTGATAATATATTAGCTCATACAGGCTAAATTAAAAATAACTGTATGGCATATCTATTTGATGAAATTCGATATGAGCTAAATGGAACTGAAATTGATCGCACGCGATTGGTGGGAGTTACTTCAACCATAAAAAACAGCGTTTCCTAAAATAAATCGAAGAGTTAAATGCTTGAGATATTGTAAACATGAGCTGATACTACTTATGAATAAAACTATGAGTGGTGTATTTGAAGATAAGATTGGTACCGTTCTGCATGATCTCAATATTTCCAAGATAACCTGGAAAATTCTACATATAGAGCTAAATGATCAAGCAAAACTTCAAATGTTTAATATGGTTAAAACTGGAAGTTCTCTCCCAATCGCATTCCCCAGCTGAGACTGTTATATGGATCCATCATTCAAGCTGGCTTTCAAGCCACTTGGAATGTAAAGCTATCAGATAGTAGAGAACGCCACCGATTTTCGTTATTCGCATTTATTTCGGGGGAAAATGATTACAAACAATTTATTAAATTTAAAAGTTCATTTGAACTCGGAAACATATCCATATGACGATTTAAATTTAAATTTTGAACGCAGACGATTTGCTGTTTTGTATGATATGTACGCTAAATTTCAAGAAAGCTATTATATGAAAGAACCTCAACCACTGCTAACGCCTAAAGAACTTCAAAAAAATGCTCCCATTGTCGTCGTGGACTTATCATACCAGAATGAGGCAGTCAAAAACGGGCCCATAGATGTTCGTATTTCTATAGACTCATCAACAGGAAATACTTCACCATGCGATGCTTACTGCCTACTTATCCATGACCGCTTGGTTGAGTATTCCCCATTAACCTAACTAGTTCAACGCATAGTCTGATCGCAAACAGTCTTATTAGTAGCGCTCTTAAGAACAAACAAAATAAACCCAAAAAAAAATGAATATTGTGAGATTATCTTTAAAGAAATGGCAATCGCCTTTACACCGGACACTATATTCGATCGAGTATTTCGGATAAAATCGCCCTATCCCTTTGGAAATCTAAACAAGCTACAACAAACCCACTCCCGGAGAGATGAAGTGCTCTCGTGGGAGAACGGTGAGGACGACTACATTTCCACTAAAAAATGGCTTCGTGAAAAGACCAGAGGTAGACGTATCATTACATACGGATCCAAAGAAAACGACATCTTGCAACATATGCTGAAAACAACCGTTGAGGACTATAATGACTATATGGATGCCCCAGTTCTTACGACTAATCAAATCATCGGCTATACAAAGTGTGGGGCTCATTCAAATCAACACGATGTGTATAGCTATCAAGCGGGCATATGTCTAAACTTTTTGATATCAGACTCCACGAAAATAGCGGATTTTCAAACCCGATATATAGCAGAAACAACAACCCTTGCTTTAGCAAGAACACATACCAGATAGCTGATCAAGACGCGAACCGTGTTAGCAAAGACACCAACACTGGTGCCAGCCCAACTAAAAGAAACATGAATGACGAACAGATCAAAAGCATGGAGGCCGCTAATGCAGCGTATAAAATATTTGCGCCACATGTGGGCAGCAGTAGACATTATTAGAAATAAAATTAAAGGCGATGCAGCAAAAGCCAGGGGGGTGGCCAAAATCAAACAGGTGCGGGTCAAGCTAGTAGCAAGCAGCGTTACCAGCCTCAAAGTCCAAACCGTCAGAGACTGCCCGCACCCCTATGCAAATAGACTCGTCATCTCGGCTTATTTTCATAGCTCGGTACAGTTCTCGGATATAATGTATGCAATCCAAATGAAAAGATGGCATAACTATTATAACAGGCCAATATATTTAGGTTTTACAGTGGTAGATCTTTCAAAATTGTTGATGTACGATTTTCATTATAATTATATAACCGAGCATTAAAATACACAATCAAGACGAAAATTTCTTTGCAGATATTAAAAATGATGTCGAGATGAAATTCCACACATCTGAATATTCTGAAGATCTTGTCCAAAATATTCCCTTAAGAGACTTAATAAAAAAGTCTTAGGCATGATGAAAGACGAGAATAATGGTAGGATAATGAAAGAAAAAAACTGTATACCCAAAAAATAACAAAAGTAGCTTTAGGTTCACAAGATTATAAGAGAAAAATAAGAGATGATTGTTTAAGTTAACCACTGACTTCCGGCAAAAGTCATCGACATCAGCAAGCAATATTCAAAAATGTCGTCAACATCAGCAAACAATATTCAAAGTGCACAACGCTGTTGTGAGGTTTGTGGAGTAACTGTACCTCACAATCGCTGGACCCATCATTTGCGCACTAATGCGCATAAGAGCAAAGCCTTTACACCGGTGGATGACTATGTCAAACTTACATCGTCTGGATTCAAAAACCGGATTAATACATATTCATACAAACAATATTATGAATAATGTAATGCTTCCTGAAGATTTCCTATGTGAAGCAGGAAGCTCATTGGTTCCAATAATGGAAAACATTTTAGAGGTGCACACCTCATATAAAGTTAACTTTGAACTTTTTGGTGAATATTTGAAGATAAACAATAACGCTGATGGTGAAGATTTTGAAATTATGATCAAATCCCATCAAACGGAAATGTGTGTGGTTACGAAGTCTTCTGACATAGAAGAAATATTCGTAAGCCACGCAGTCATCATAAGTTCAAAGATGGATGAATTCCAAGAGCGAGATAGTGGTTGGACTTTAATAAAAATTTTACATGTTGAAATGAATATCAACAAATACAATCCACTGAGAGGCTCTAGCTTTATTCCGTTACCACGGAAATTAAGTTCGAAAAAAGCCATAATAAACGTAAAAAACGAAGATGAGTTTTGCTTTAAGTGGGCTTTAATAGCAGCCCTAAAGAACTGTATGGAGCACACTTATAGGTGTGCATCGTATAAAATCACTGACATAAGGAGTTCAATTATCGAAATTGATGAGAAGTTCTCACTTCAATTTCATAATATGGAATTTCCACTTAAGATCAAAGACATTAAATTGTTTGAAGAACAAAATACTAATATAAGTATAAATGTCTTTGGGTATGATGAAAATATCAATGAGATAATTGGGCCACTCTACCTAACCAAGGAACCCCGCGGAAAGCATATTGACCTGTTGCTTTTGGAAAAGCAGAATATCTCACATTATGCCTGGATTAAGAATCTATCACGGTAAGTAAATAAAACAAAAACAAAAAATATTTATAAATTTCTTTATTAATATCATACATATTTTCTCCTCCAGACTTACACATAGTCAGCTAACTTCGCACACAAGGAAATTGCATTTCTGCAATATATGTTTGAACTACTCACACAACGAGAGATCCCATAGCGAGCAGTGTGGAAAACTGGCGGCAAAGCTTCCAACGGCGGATAAGGCGAGTCTTAAATTTAAGAATTATGCTAATACTTTAGAAGTACCTTTTGTAATATATGCAGATTTCGAATGCATTTTAAAACCGATCAACAGAAATGTTAGCGAGAATGTAATAAGCATTCAAGAACACATTCCTGTTGCATACGCATATTTCATAAAATCTGCATATGATTCTAGTCTAGATAAGTTCGTAATATGTTTATAGTGGGGAAAATGTAAGATTACATTTTGTAACATCGCTCATTGCTGATGCAAGAGAGATTTATACCAAGTTTAGAAGATGAGCATAAATTTACAAATGCTATAAATTGTCACATTTGCACAAAGTTTTTAAACTTAGATAGAGTACGGGATCATTGTCACTTAACTGGTAAATTTAGAAGGGCAGCTTATAATGCTTGTAATATAAATTACAAAATTGCCTCATTTATCCCAGTGTTTTTTCATAATTTTTCACGCTATGATGCGCATTTGTTTGTAAGAGAGTTGTCAAAAGTTGAAGGTGAAATTAAGGTTCTAGCTCTTAATAAAGAGGTTTACATTTCCCTTTCAAAGTACACTTATATTACAGAGCACAATACAAATTTGGAAATACGTTTTCTAGACTCATTTCGATTTATGGCTGCTAGTTTAGATAGTCTTAGCTCTAATTTAGAACATAAGCATTTCACAAGTGTTAAACGTTTTTTCCCTGATCTAACACACTTTGCCCTAGTACATAGGAAGGGAGTATTTCCTTATGAATATTTAACCAAATTTGATTATTTGCAAGAAATTGCCCTACCACCAAGGGAACAATTTTTCAACAGTCTTGCGAATAGAGAATGTTCACATGAAGACAATTTGCATGCCCAGAACGTTTGGAGAGTTTTTGATTGTAAAACTCTCCAAGATTATATGGAGCTGTATTTAAAGACAGATGTACTTTTGCTTACAGATGTTTTCGAAAATTTTCGTTTAATTTGTAAGAATATCTATTCATTGGACCCAGCACAATATTAAATAAAAGAGAGTTAATAAAAAAGTTTTGGGCATGATGAAAGATGAGAATAATGGTAGAATAATGAAAGAGTTCATAGCA